AATGCACTTCCTTAACGCAGCATTGAACCTATTATCAGATCGGGTAGAGGCATTCTTCATCAAGTTCCTCTATGGTGCTGGCGTTCTCAACGCTCATGACCCAAGACATGGCATACGGCGAGTCGTAGCTGAATGCGTTGCTCACGATTTCTCGAGTGGAGATGATCCAGTCTCGTAGCTCGTGCGGCGCAGGCTCTTTTTCGAGCTCTATGTTGGCGCATTTGTTCGCCTCGGAGGGCAACGAAGACAAAGGCGGTCGAGTAGCCTGTCCAAAAACATGGGGAGGTAGAATGCCATCTCTGCCAATGGATATGGCACAAAGAGAACAGCTCCCCGATGAAGGCGGGCAGCATGCGGCACACAAAGATGTGCGGCATAGCGAGCAAGTTTGAAAGCAGGGAGGTGTTCCGGGGACGTTGGACTTGACATTGATGTTGCAGCGGGGACATACTCTTTCGTCAGCAGAGGATCAGCGAAGATCGGGATCCCCAATACCGCCGCCACCACTGATGCCGTGCCCACTTTTACCGAGTCCAGGTGGAAGAGAGAAACCAGTTGATCCACCAGAGTTATTCTGTATCCTGTGTGAGTAGGCTGTAGAGTCTGCTGACTTGTCACAGCAGCGTCAGATCCGTACCTTCCGCGAATAATTCCCTGTGACGTTCCATGTGCGACCTGTCCAGTGATAACACCTCCGGCAGGAGAACATCCGGGATATGTGCCGGCGGTTCCTCTCGAGGCAGCTCGGCCAACGATGGCATTGCTCTTGGCATCGGTCCCGCGGCTCCGGTGTGGGAGCGGGAGCCAGAGTTCCCTTGCTCTGGTTCAGGGCTCCGCCAGGGTCGGCTCTCAGGCATCCGAGACAAATTGGTCGGACAGTCGACCCAAACCGGCGCACTTCGTCGGGTGATGCGATGCGCTGATCGCAGTAGTCCTCCTTGCATATGAGACATGTCTGAAGACCATGCCTCCCTCCTCTTCCTCTGCATGTGCGGCAGCGGGGAAATTGATCGCTACACTTGAAACATGAGTTGCAATCATGGTCAAAACAGCCTTCGCAGACAGATTTGCCGCAACTTCGGTCAGGGGCATCGCCAGCAGCCCGAGTGGCGGTTCTAGAGGGATCCCTGCCAAAAACGGGTGCAGACGGTGATGATGGAGGTGGTCCAGAAGGAGGAGGCGAGGTCTTGCAGAGTCGGCGGCGCGAGCAGCACGAGGAGGAGAACCTCTATGAACTCGCCCCTGTACTAAGGAATCTGTATCCCCAGACTTCTCCCAGGATCCCGCTCCGGCGCCCGATGCAGCGCCACCACTTGGGGATGCATGGGCAGCAGGAGGTCGTTCCCTCAACTTGGTTAATTGCATGTTGATCTCGTTGACCCGCAATACAAGTTTCATGAATTGCGCCTGCATGTCTTTCGGATTGGGGCCTTGACTTCTGTCGTGAAGGTCCTTGACACATCTGGCAACGCAGGACAACTGAAGCTTGTGCTCCTCGTGTTTCTGAGAATGCTCGTTGAGGGCTCCAGACATCCGGTCACTAAATTGTCTTAGGTCAGTGGCTGGGACAAGGTGTTGAATGTATGTTTCAACGTTCCCGCGAATGGTCCTTTCCCTTGCGACGGTCCCTTCCATGTCAATGACACTGCGAGAGTTCGCCTCGACCTCATCGTTGATCCTTCGAATCTCAGCCTCAAGGGCCCCGATCTCGGAGAACCTAAGGAGCTGAACCTTGATGTTTTCAAGGGACTCGGCTTGTTCGCGGAGTCCAGCGGCAGAGACAATGACTGAGTTGGGTCTCTCATCATACATCTTGAAGCGCTCATTCGTCTCCTTCTCGCTCCGAGCGATCCATTCGTGGATTTCACGGAATTTGGCCTCGTGTTTCGAGAACGTTCCGGCGACGGCTGAGAATGATGATTCGACCTTTTTCTCGAAGGTGTCAATGCGGCCGTTGATCTTTTTGATCTCCCCAACGCATGCGTTTATATCATCCCTGCACGAACGGATTTCAGTTCTGCATCCCTGGATTTCAACCTTGCACCCTCTGACCTCGTTGTGGATCGCGAGAAGTAGCCGCTGAAGTTCAGAGGCGACGGGATGACCCGCGTTCGCGGAGCTGGCAGGTGCCGGACGGCTGTTAGCGTCATTGGCTCCCTGACCAACCTCATTCCTGTCGGGGGCAACTCGGAGTTCCGATTTGAAAGAAAGTGGGAACGATGGGGTTGACAGTTGGTGGGCTCGATGGGAGTCCTGCCTTTCCAGGGACGGTAGCAACAGACCGCTGCCGTCGATTCCTGGGCGTAGCAATGATCCCGTCATCAGTGTCCTTCTCAGACATCGGGGCATTGGAGCTAAGTCCAGACACAGCCGAGTGGATAGGGACGTCAACAGGATCGTGATGATCAGGAGGACGGGATCGCAAGGGCAGCTTCGCGTCTCTCAGGTGACTCGGAGCTCCTTTTCGTAGCCCGTGAGTCAGTGCCGGAAGGCCAAGAGA